AGGTTTAAGGACTATTTTTGTGTGTCTACGACAGTACACCAATAAGTTCAGTAACCGTTTGTAAAATTAACCCTCAAACAATGTCTTCTTATCCACTTTAAAATCTTATTGATAGGGTCACCCCACAAAGGCGACCCACGACCCATTTTTTTTTATAGTTTTCCACTAACATACGATGGACTCGATCCAAACTATATAGAAAAACAAATATCACATGTTAGAACATTTTATCTCAAAAAGATTCAAACGACAAATATATCATGCAATCAACAAATACATATTAGAGCTTACGGTATTATAAACTTGTTATAAATATATAGTAGTTCTATTAGATGAATATCACATCTCTGTATGGCCTAACGCATTTTTTAACACTAACTCAAGTATTTTCACTTTTTCGTATATTTATGGAATATGCTTGAACTCCACACAGTGCCCTTATATTATTTGTGTTCTAAGCCGTAAATGGTTAAACAATTGTTAGGACTGTGAATACAAAGAGAAATGTTGGTTAAAATGGTTTCTCTTTCCTATTCGAATCCTTAAATTTTAAATTAGCTACTTTCCCAGACATGTTACATCAAAATGAATCAATCATAACCTGCTAAAGTAACAATAGTTGAATAAAATCTTGAGAAACAATTAAATATTATAAGGGTATTTATGAGATTATATAAATGATCAAGAAGGTAGTGAAATAATGAATAAAAACAAACAAGTTCATAATTCTCATGAACATAATTTATTGATCAAGGAACCTCAACTTAATTATTCCAACAGGAATATCATTTTCTGTACGAAACCATCCATATAAGAATCCTCAAGACCTTTGCTCAACAAGAAATCCCTCAATTTATCATGGTTTCTTTTCACCTCGTTCCCAGTTTCACTGTCAACTTTCATCACTGCCATTATGGCTTCATTCACGCCCTCCTTTGTAAACAAGCCATCTTTGTCTCCTTTCTCGACTTCAACTCCAACTTTTAGATGTGCACTAAGAACTTTGGCCTGAATGTAATGTTCGCCTCTATGGGGCAGTACCACCAATTGACACTCACTCACTAGACCCTCCCATAGAGACGCGTACCCACCATGTGTAACAAAACACCCCACAGAAGGGTGACTTAAGATCAATTGCTGTTGAACCCAACCTCCATACACCACCCCTTTTTCTTGAGTTCTCGCTTTGAATCCCTCAGGTAAGGCTTCTTCCACTATCTCCGACCCAAAAGGTGGTTTCAGTGCGGCGAAAAAGGGATGCCCTGAGTGTTCAAAACCCAACACCAATTCTTGAAATTGATCCTTTTGAAGTATGGCTTCGCTCCCAAATGCACAGTAAATCACGCTTTTGGGTCTGAATTTGTCAAGCCACCTTTCCTACTTCTCCTCCAGAAAAGAAGATGGTGGTTTAGGGACAACTGGCCCTGCAAGTAAGACTGGCTTCTTGAAGTTATTTTCAATATATTCAATATATGGCCCTTCAGTTTCTCTACAAGTCTTGAAACCAATGGCATCACTCTCACAAATTGAGGTCCTCAACCGCTGCTTTATTGTCAACCCACTGCCTACTTCCTTTTCACTGTCAAAAACCTCAAGTCTGCGGATGACATGTTTATAGAGCCTGATCGACGGAGGAAAACCTGGAGGACCGTTCGTATGAGACTCAATCGAGGCTGTTTCGGATAACAAGAAACCCACAGATGCAGAGCTTACAGGGACATAGAAAATTGCTTTGATGCCTGAACGGTGCGCCAAAAAGGGCACCCAACACATCATATCAAAGAAGGTGAAATGGGGTTTGATTTCTTGGAGTAAAGATTCAACGGTGGGTTATGTAAGATCCATTGCATACCGAAGTAAAGGCTACACGTGAATAGGAATTTCCGTGCTGGATTCAACGTGAGGTGGGAGGCCTTCAACATTGGGAAGGGGGAGGGGGATCAACTTGATGAGGTCCGGATGAAGATTGGATTTTTCCAAATTGGATAGTGTTTTAGGCGGGACAACAAGGAAAACGTTATGGCCTCTGGCTGCAAGTTCGTTGGCTGTACGAAGATAAGGGAAGAGATGACCCATGGCAAACCATGGATACATGAAAATGGTAAGAGAAGAATCAGCCATGTTCGATTCTTTGGTTTCTGCCAAGTTTTGATCAAAGTTTGATCACCTAATAAGCACTTCGGGAACCAAAAGGAGTATGTAAAACACTCCAGTAAGATAAAGGTCAATTTGAGAAGAATCTTCAGTTGTGGTTACTCATTTTTGTAGAGCTTGTAGATGGCATCTGATGCACGAAGTCTGCAGGTAAATAGGCAAAGAGAGAGATCAATGCAACTGAAAGGAGGAACTTGTCTCCTTATAGTTCAACCGGTTGGTGAATGCAACAGAATTTGGGGTTAGTGGGTAGAGAAATATAACATTGTAATCTTTGTAGGTGTTATGCAATCAATTTTGCTAAATGTACCGTTCCCTTCACAGTGAGTTTCACAGTCTTCTCACACGTGGGTGGGGCCCCATGTGAGTGGACTGTGAAGGAGGCTGTGAAGAGGGATTGTAAGTATAGCATTGTTCAAAAATGCAATAGTTTCAATTGATTTAGCCCCTCTTTGATTCGCGTTCTTTTTAAAATTCATTTTCAATTATACAATTTTTAATAAAATAATATTACACGTAAATTCAAAACTTTCCTTATCTTTTAATCACATATTTTTCATCATATCGCATCACATCGTAAAATGCATTATTTTCTAAAAAAATGTGCATCAACCCCCCCCTCCCCCCAAAAAGGCTGTAAATACTTTTAATATGATTATAACATTTTATTTTTGGCATAATCTATTATTTAGTTCCCGTTCGTCTTCTATTCTATCAAAAAAAAAAAATTGTACATGTTCATTTTTGATGCAGGAGGATCCGAGCCAGACGAGGCTGAACTATCTAATAGTTCATTAATGGCGCTGAGATACCATGANTAAAAAAATGTGCATCAACCCCCCCTCCCCCCCCCCCAAAAGGCTGTAAATACTTTTAATATGATTATAACATTTTATTTTTGGCATAATCTATTATTTAGTTCCTGTTTGTCTTCTATTCTATCAAAAAAAAAAATTTGTACATGTTCATTTTTGATGCAGGAGGATCCGAGCCGGACGAGGCTGAACTATCTAATAGTTCATTAATGGCGCTGAGATACCATGA